GGGGGAGAAAAGAGGAGGAAAGGATGAATGCGATGAACGTGAGACAAGCAACGGTGAAACAGAGAGAGAGAGAGAGAGAGAGGAAGCGAGAAATAAGGAAGGAGAATGTCGAGAGCAAAAGGAGAAATAAGCGTGAGACTAATGGAACCGCGAGAAATCAAGTTAGCAGGAATGGTGGAATCTGTTGCCAGAGGAATTCAAGGAAGGAAGCGTGGACCACCGTGGTGGCATATTCCTCGATCGGGAGAAAAAGGAACGATCGAGGATCGTTCGAGGAGAAGAGTTATATCGAGAACCTGAGAAACTTTATTTCTATCGGATCGCGTAACAACAAACGGATGCAGGGTGATTCTTTGTGAAAAAAATAGGGGGAAAAGAGAAAGGATGGGATGAAATTTTTTCGAGAGAATCAAAAGGTTTGAAATTGGAAAATTCGTGGCTAATTTTAAAATTGGAAATGGAGAGAATTATTAAAAAAAAAAAATTGTATAATTGTTCGCATTTTCGAAAACGAATTTTTAAACGAAATAAAATTAATGTTACATCTTTTGCTTATTTTTACATGTAAAATAATCTTCTAATTCGTTTGTATTCAATTGGCTAATTAAATTTAAATAGAAAAATTTGTTAATTGATCTGGATCAATATTTGGTTTTTGTGATATTGAAGAAAATTTAAAAGTAAGATAATTTATTTGCTTTATTTGAAGTTAAATAATCGACTTGATTCGAGGAGAAGAATTAAATATTTATTTAATTTGTCATCGAGATTGTGCGGAAGTTTGTTTGAATTGTAAACTTTGTGCAATTCAGGGAACCAAAATTCGTATTTCAAATTGATATTTCTCGTGTAACTTTCTCAACTTTGTTAAAATTAAATTTTCAACGGTAAAATATAATATTCTTTGAATTATCTTAAAAATCTGCTCTTGGAAAATCCGTGTAAAATATTCTTATATGCCTAATATTCTTATCACTTTTAACCAAAAATCATATAGATTGTCATTTCTGATACTTATCAATTTAAAAATTAAATTACATCCAAAGGGAAGAAGACATGACGAATGAAGCAATTTCAATTATTAATAAAATTACTTTCCATATACGATTCTTTATTCCTTTCTCGATATATGATCGTTGCAGAATTTTAAAATCAATTGTTCTATGAGTACAGAAATTTCTAAACTTATCTACTTGTGTCTTACTTAGTATCAATTGTAACAATTAATGATAGAAATTCATTATAAAATTATCAGTAAAACTTAATATCTAATTTTCAATTTTGATTACAATCTAGCATACTCTAAAGATGACATATATATTTAATATCTAAAAAAAAAAAAGAAAAAAATCTAAGAAATGTCAACGAAGAAACAAATACTAATTTGAAAAAAAAAAAAAATTCAATATACAATATATATTTTCAATTCGAATATACGAGTCTGCTTCTTCGACAATTCTTTATTTAACAGATCGAAATAAGGGCCCATTTCGTATTCATTTACTTTTTACACAATCCAACCTCATCTAAAATAGTTATCGACATGATATATTTTAACTTTACACATACCCACCTTATATTCAAATTTATAACATCGCAACGAATTAAAATTAGAAACTAGACTGCGGATTTTTATGCAAATATATATTTTTCATAAATGAATATATCATATAGATGTATTTTCTTTCTCAAATTAATTCTATTTGTACAAGAATTGAATATTGTGAACAAGAATTCAATATTCTGAATGAAATTGCAGATAACAATATTGAAAATTGCAAGAATTTTGATATTTTTGACTCGAAGATTCCTTTTTTTCAAATATTTTCCAATAAACAAAAAGTAGCAAATTATTTAAAAAGTGCACGAGAATTTTAAATAATACGCAGAACAACAGACGCATCTCTGATTTCAATGATCTTGAAAACACATTACTTACAATTTCTCATAACATGAATTATAGAAATATTCTAATGTATCCACAAAAAACAATTTTATCTCATTAATATATATATATATATATATTTATAACACATAAATATTCATTCTTAAATGTTAAGAAATAAAATAACAAATATATCTCGAATATCTCGAAAATTAAAAGTCCAGCCTTTATAATAACACATCTCATTCTCATTCGAGATGGCTCTGTTATTTCGCCCAATTCGAATAACACGATATATTTTCCCGGTCAAATACACTTTATTTTAAATTGCACAAAAAGCCACAATCTAATTACAACAATTAGCAAGCTGCGCAATTGGAAAGAATATATAGAAACGAAGGGATATAGAACGACTTTTTCCTCGTTACCATTCCATACGTAACATAATTTCCACGCGAGAGATCAACAATGAACGTATCGCGTTACCCAATGGTTACCCACAGACGGTCAGCTGAAAAACAATTTCGAATCTCGAAACGTAGTTGGTGCACGATCGTTAAGAGATTCTCGGAAGTGACCGCGGCGTCGAACGAGCGGAAACGGTTTCTCTCGTGACCTCGACCCGTTTGTCAAGAACCATTTACACGAACATTCGCCGCAGCGCCCATGTTTCATGCGATATGAATAATAATCTATCCGGTAACTACATCGAGAGCTCGCCGTGAGTGTCGAACACCGAGCCAAAAACCGAGGAAAAAAGGACTCGAGCAAGCTCGTTGGCTCTGGCTCGTTTATCAGCGAACAAAAGTTACGCAAATATGTGCAGTATTCGAGCGAAAGATTTTCGAATTATTATTTATTCGAATTGGTGCCTTCTCGATTTCCTTTATTATTGTTCCTTTTCTTTCTTCTTCTTCTTCTTCTTCTTGAGCGTGTGCGTGTTGTTTTGGTGTTCGTTGAGAGATATTCATTGGAGTAGACGGATTCAGGGCAGAAGTGTGAACGAATTGTTCGAATCTACGATATCCGTATTATCGAGGCGAATGGTCGGTATCAGTGGTAGCTGCATAAAAGGGGCGTTCTCGAGCTGTATAAATATCCTCGTAATGGGAAAATAATGATCTGCAAAGCGTATTTCAATATTCCAGCGATAATTCGCTGCATCTGTATTGATGCGACGTTGAAAATGGTTAATTTTGAGTAGTAATCTTATCTATGGAGTGTTTTTTATTTTTTGTTGTATAATTAAATATTGACAGATTCGATATTAAAAAATATATAAATTTTCTATCAAAACTTTAACTTAATAACATATTTTTCTTATTTTCATTTAAAACTTGGGAAAATATCCTATATACATCAATTTTTTCTAAACTTTTTTTTTCTGAAACGAAACAAAGACAAAATACATTGATTTTTGAATCTAGAAATTTGTTGGTCTAAGAGTCAAGAAAGGTTAAAAATTTGATATTCTTAGCAAACTGGGTGGCATAAGTTAAGTTGGATTAGGTCAGGCGAGGTTATGACGCCATATTGACGTAGAGAAGTGAACGAGAGGAAACTGATCGTTTTCATTGTGATGATGAATTTGGAGATCGAGTATGTGAATATTTATGGCATCACTTCTGTCGTTAGAATGATCGATCTGACGACATTATTAAGCGATTCGAGGTTTTTTCAAAAACTTTTACTATATTTTCTGATTTCTAAACTCAAAATCGTTAAATTCGTTCCATTCATCGTGTGGAAAAAGTAAAAATACTTGCGATATCATTATTATCGTCCAAACGATATAGATCTAATGATATCAATAAAAATGAACCAGGCTTTTCTTAAACTTCTATAGCAATAGCTTCTATTCGTCAATAATCGATGGATAAAAACGAAATAATATTTATTTTTATTCGAATATCAATATAAAATATTCAAAGAAAAGAATCGTGTCTCGAAATGAAATTTAATCAAGTACAATTTGAGTTAATTATTAAATATTCTAGTTTTATAACCAGCAAAATAAATAATTGGCAATGCTCGATATAGAAAAATAAAATAAAAGAAAATTAAATTTCAACGATTACTTTATTATTTTAAAAATTTTTAATCTAAACCACTTTTATTTAACGAAATATGCAGATAATTGATTTTTTACCCAATAATCCACGATATTTTGGATAGAGACACGATATAAAATAACGTAATATATATATATATATGTCGAATGTGAACAAACTTGAGTATATAATACGGATATCAACGAGACTCGATTGGATTCGGTCACAAAATTCGTTCTTTTATTTCATACAGTAAATATTTACTGTAGAAGTGTTTCGTCCTCTCCAAGCAAACGAACACCAAATTTAGCAAACTTCGGACAGGGTAAACAACAATAATAATGTTGTAAATAGACGAGGGACGTCGATAAATTTGAGATTCACCATTTGAGCGTATATAAATCTTCGAATTTGGAAAATCTTTCTCAAGGCGAACGATATAACACATTTTTCCGTAACTTTCGAAACAACGTCGCGATACGAGATGCACTCTGACATCAAATAGACTGTTCTACTTTGAAATGCAATATGCACGACGATGGTACCTCTCTTGTTAAGTCGAGTGGACACTCGTTTCTCTTTCCGTTTGTTTGTTTGTTATCATCTAACATGCGCGCAAACACATATTAAGGAAAAAGATATTTACACAGACAGGCAAATTTTCATTCTTTCCCCCTTTTTTTTTTTTTTTTTTTTTTTGGTAATAATTGAGAAAAATTGAGATTAAAAATTTCGCACAGTAGGCCGCAGGAGGGCGAATATCAAGAGTTTCTAATTTTACAGATTTATTAACTATAAGTTGGGTAGGTTTTCAATTTTACAAATATCAAACATTTTTTCGAAAGACGCGCGGAAAATTCTTCTTCGATCTTAGCTTGTTAAAACCAAGGAATTCACATCATCAAACGACAACACGACGACTTGTCAAAGAAATGAATGTCCAAACTGATTCCAATCTCTTGGCAGCATGCTGTGCCACTACTATATGTATAGAATGTAATGTAATGTGGAACTATAGAAGATGTAATTAGAATATTGAACAAAGAAACGGCGGGCAGACTCACTTGTTGTAGAGGACTATATCGGGCCGCCATATGTGGTCGGACGGCACGTGTAACATGTGAACTCCTCCGTATTCCTTCGGCTCCCATCGCAGTTTGTAATCGTACCATGACTTGAAACAGCCAACACAAAAAATATAACCATATTATTGTCTCTCTTTTTTTCTATATTGCATTTAATTTTCAACAAAAATTTTTTCAAATTTTACATTTATCCTTACTTCGTTGCGCGGGAAGGAAAAGGAATGGATTGGAATTAAAAAGATTTGAAATCTGTTTAAATTATATTTATTTCATTACGTTTAATTATATCTCTATAATTTATTTTTTTATTCTTTAACAAGTTTGGACGAGATATTCAATTCATCATCTAAATATCTTCTTACTTAAACATTTTACATTTTACTCGTTCAATATCAATAATATGCTTCATTATGACAATATCGTTACCTTTGGATGTGCAAAACCAACTTTATTTCAATCGATTCTCATAAATAACGCACTATAATAATCGTAAACAAGTAAAAATGTTGATTATAAAATTATCGATTTTATTAAGAAAAGGGAGGACGATAATTTTAATGATAAATATTATTCGTTTTTTGTAAAATTAATTCACGAGTATTAATAGGGGAATACGTGTAACGGTGATTACCCGAGCAAGACTTCATCTTCCACGAAAATAATTTAATTTTTGGATGGAAAACGACCAAGTCGTATCGCTTACTCTTATGCACGCGAAGGGAGAAAGTTGGTGGAAATTCGATTGCCCCGCGGCCATTAATTAGTGGCCAATTATCCCGCAGGGGTTCACGGGTACGAAACTTCGCCCAGAATTTCTTCACAGAGGATCCAATCAGAGATTCTCTTTGCCGCAAGTAACTGTGCCGCCCGTGGAAAGCATTTGTACCTGTAGCGATTGCATTCAAATTTTCTCTTTTCTCTCGAAATTCCTGTCTTACGAAATTTCCTTTTTCGCACGTTTGGAATTTGAATCTGGATGTTGCAACCTCTTATTAGATCTTCTAGTTAGTATCAAGGCTGATACTAGAAGCTTGCTGTAATAGATAATTTTTCATTTTTATACGAATTTGACAATAATAATAGAACCTCTTTATAATATTGTATTATAATATTAATAAAATAATTATCTGTCGATTTTGTGAAAAAATGTTTCAGACGAATTGTATTTGAAGATAGTTGCAGATGAATGCAATTTAATTTTTTTTTAATTTATAGGAGTTGCAATGAGATGACTTTGAAATTGCATAAAAATTGAATTGTCTTTAAGCATAAACATTTTTTAATTCAAATAAAAAATTTCAACTAATAGTTGTTATTGATTCACGATTAAATTACAAAACAATATTCTTCCATTATACTTGTTTTATTTAATTCGACTGTACAAGTTGAATTAATTATCTTAAGGGAATTTTTTCTCATCAAAATAGTAAGAAGCGTATCGAATTAATAACAAAATTTCCTTTTAGCAAACTGGAGGACAAATTTCTACTTTAAAATTTTTATCGATCCCTGAAATACTTTATCAGAAAAGTAGGTTAATGAAATTAGTCGGGAAGATGGCAGTGGACAGGGCAAAATATCTATCCGGATGGATAAATGCAAATCATTTTTTACGTCGAATAAAAATGTAATATTTTAATATTAATATGAATGACTCGAACAAAAAAAATTCTCAATAATTTCTTGCCGACAATAAATTAATTTTAATTAAGAGAAATTAACTGTTACGAACATATACATACATTTTACTAAAAAATACTCGTTTTATTAAAACTTCATGAAGTTTTATTATTTTCGCTATCTCTGAAAAATTTTAAGAATATTAATATTACGAGAGTTCCAGTATCGAGCAAAAAAATCTTATGCATAGTTATAATAAGTGAAAAAAAAAAAATCCATGTATTAAACATTTCCATTTTCGTATATAAGTGAAAGGGGAAAAGGTGAAGATAAAAAAATATCAGAGAAACAATTATGTACGTCGATTTAGGAAATAAAATAATATCATATTACGTGAACACAGATCACTTGATTAATTACTCGAACGTTTCGCAAGAAGTTTTATCGATTTATTTCACTTGAAGAGAGAAACACACAAAGGCGGCGTTCTGCGGCGCAAACACATAAATCCAAGTTTCATTTTCGTGGCCCGATGGCCGGAAAAGTGGAAGAGCCATTAGTAAAAGTTGGTGGATCATAAACAACCGCGAAGTCACGTATCGAGATTTATTTCTTTCGCCAGTGACCCACATACGATATGAATTTGTTATTTCTTCTCCGCAGAAGGGAGATAAGTGGAATAAACTCGAGTCAAGGTCGGGCAAGTAGAAGGGAACAGTCATGGCCGGGCCAGTAGAATGAGTCAATCGCGAGCGTATAAGTAGAGGAAATTGTGTTTCATTTTCAAGGAATTTTGATTTTGAGAAAAATTCTGTAAAAAAAGGTATGGGTGATCGTCAAACAAAACTTGTTGTCACAATTCTCTGCGCATAATATTATGCATGCGTGATGGAATGATATAATGGGTGTGTAAAGAGGGAATGCGTTAAAGAATGCGTGGAAGAAAAAGGGGAAGAAAGAAAAGAGATCGCATGGACTGAATATCGATATGTAAATATGATTTGTCTTTTCTTTAACAAGTTTTTGGAAAATAAATACAATCCAAACGATTGTAAAAAAATGATTCTAATAATATTTTATATATATTATTTTTATTAAATAATATTCTGTTATATTGTCATTCATAAACGAGGAATCATAAGATTAAATTAAATGTTAGACGTAACTTGACTCGAGAAATTTATTGAATTTGGAAAATAATTTAATATAGTGTATTTTACGTGATTACACGCATGAACTCGAATTACCTTTAACTGCAATCTTTCACATTGTTTACTTCATCATTAAACTTGATACATGAAACATTAGTCAGGGTATACATTTACATGCGCAATCTATTATGACTTTACCGTTATATTTTGTCAAGAATTATAAATTAAACCTACAGTTTAAGTAAATTCCTTAAATTAATTGATCTCGTGTAATTTGCATATAAAATGAATTCATACAATTACTTTTTATAATTATGATATTGTAGGTATATAATAAGAAAAAGATTAAAAAAAAAAATTTGAATTATTGTCAGAAACATCTTAAAATACGTAAAAAATTTGCTGGATCGAGACTTCTTGCTCGATCTTCACTTCACTGAATTATAAAAAAGCTTGGTTCATACATTAGCTTTTTTTTTACGATCGATTTATAAAAATACAAGAATTTGCCAATGTTTTCTCCCAAAGATACTCCACGAAAGCTATAAAAGTAGTCGAGGTATGAAGAAACGGATGAATAACATGTTGACAAATTTTACACTCCCCGCATCCAAATTTATTCCTATGCATATAAATACTCATATATTATAGCCACGAAAAAAAAAAAAAAAGAAGAAGAAGAAGAAAGAAATAAAAATTTTGAATTAAAATCAAGGATAAGTAAATTGGACATTAAACTGGATATTAAAATTGAAAGAACATGTTATCGATATGTGAAAAGAAAAAAGAATATATTTTGAAACTTTGATATACTGATCCTGAAAATGGTGAAATGAATAAAATTCTGTCGATATCGTACGTGTCGATTGCTATTGTAAGTGACACTCGACCGCAATCTTGAAACATCATATTTCGTGGAAAAAGCGATGAAGATGATACCGGTTTCGTTAAAACGTTCGACAATATCGATAATAACATCCTATTCTATATTTTTAAATAAATTATTTTCCTCTGCAAATTTAACTTGTATCTTTTTACCGATAATAATTCAATAATATCATATATATATATACTGTAAGATTACTATTTTACAAAACCAATAATTTTACAATTATTATCATCTCTAATATCATTCTCTTTTGTAAAATTTATTATTCGTAACATTTTATTACAAAATTTAGCTGCTCATTATTCACACGATATTATTTTAAATAATACGAGAAATCATTACAATTACGTTTCGTTATCGAAAATTAAAAATTCACAAACGAAATATCATTGTTCGCGAGATTCCACTATTTCGCTTCCAGACTTTCTTTAAACTCTAAACGTTGACAAAGTGCGATTCTCTTCTCTCTGACAAGTGGAAAAGGAAAGAAAGGAAAAGGGAGAAATCGAATATCGAAAAACGAACGAACGATTCAGAGCTAAGACTGAAGGTTGAAGAAGCAAGAACTGAGATCCAGGGCGATGACCAAGTTCAAAGGGTCGAAGAGAGAAAGAGAGAGGTGAGCAGGCGAGAGAAAGAGGGATGGTAACCGATACCGATGGTGAAAAAGGAAACAGAGATATCAAGTGGAAAAGGGAGTTGAGATATGTCCACGGATAGAAGGGGCACCGCTATTGTTATCAATTTATTTCCGATGTATTGACTGCCCGCTAAAAGGGATGCCGTCATCGATACGTGATTGTGAATCCTCCCCCCAGAACCTTCTACGAGCTATCGATTCCACCACCTGTCGACCGCAGACACGACTACTTACACGACCACTTGCCTCGAGAATCGTGTCAAAGATTTTCGATCGGTTCACAACTCGGCGAAACTGAATGTAATTAAGCCACGGTGAAATATTAATTTCCACGTGGCTCTGCGAGCGATGTCTAACGAAGAAATTCTCCCTCTCGCGAGAAATATTTGAATAATGAAGTTTTCAAGTCGTCTTTTCTTTCTTTTTTTATTTAGTTTTTTCAAAATGCTGTTCACACCAAGAAAACACGTGTAAAAATATCATCTAGTTTTTATTCAGTCTTGAAATTTACATTAAGATAATAGCCTTCAAGAATTTAGGTTCTTTGGCCTGTCTGATTTTCACTCGAAATCTCGAATTTCCATTTTTTTAATTATTTAAAATCTGAAATTTACGATTAAGAAATGTCTAAATCGAAAAATTGTTTTCTCCATCGTTCACAAAGATATTAGTAGAAATACTAATATCTTTCATAGATGATCCATAAATTAGTATTAGCATAAACTTTGATTGATATAATATATATATAACTTACAATTAATTAAACGCAATCGAGTTGTGCAATTTTGAAAGCAATTAAGCGTTCCAAATTGGCAAAGTTTAATTCATACTCTGTATAATTTGAAACGTGTTCCATACGAGAGGTGGAGTCGAAGAATTGTGCAAATTAAATAGGGAAAAGCGCGTAATTGTCAATTTTCTACGAAACAAGATAACAGGCGGGATCCTATTGTCGTTTTATCGACTTTCAGCGCGGCCAATGAGAAATGAATTTGTCACCATTTCCGTTTCATGGTTAGGAATAGACTCGATTTTACACTGGATTGCAACGAAATTGAAAAAGTTAAGGGAAAGGCCCATTCAAATTGGCCGCCTGAATTACCATTTATATGAATAAAAGAGAAAATTTCAATGGGGATAATTCAAACGATACATACATCTCGTTTCGAATATCTTCCTTCTTTTCTTCCTCCTGTTCTACGCCTATCTTTCGAATTAATCGTTCAAATCCAAACGATGATCGTACTCGAGAATGCTTCAACCATTTTCAGGAACTTTGGTTATGGTTTGGTTCGAAGAACATTACTACGTCAGATCTTTAACTTTATCGACTAATTTAATCCACATTATAGATCGTAGTTCGGAAGTTTGCTTCCAATCGTTGTACTTGGCTGCTTGTTAAAATTATATATATATATAGCATCTGCGCTGTTAAGATGGGTGAAATACTTTTGACAAAAAAAAATTATTAAGGAAAGTTGAAATCAACGAATATATTTTTCTTTCTTATTAATTCTACTTAGAGATAAACTTTTCAGTTTGATAAATATAACAATTTACAGAGATTAATCTAAAATGTTTCTTGATTTTATTCTTTCCTTGAGAATTGTGAGAAGATAGCCAAGTTTTAATCCATTTGTAAATGGAAAACATACAAATCTGGTGGATTTAGAACAGACTCTGGATGAATGAAAAGCTCAAGGGGGCTTTAAGAAATAGCATTTTATTAAAAAATCCTTTGAATTAAATCTGAATTAAATAGAAAGATTTCTTGGAAGATTCTCTAAAGAATCTTTAATTTCTTAATTCTAAAAACAAGAATTTATAAAAATATTCCATTTCTTATTTATAAATCGATCCAACATAGGTTAGGTTCATTTATGAAATTTTAAACAATTTATCTTAAAATCACTCCAGTTTGTTTTATTATTTTACATTTATTCCAACTTTTAGAATGAATCGGCTCTCGTAGAAACGTATTTAATCCTTTGTAACGCAAATATTAAAACCAACCAAGTTGTAACACAAATATTACTCTCTCACCATACAATGCAACAACCACTACTATATTTCACACCATCCTTCGTTCGTAAATTTGGCATAAGAAGGCATAAGAAGAAGAAGAAGAATAAGGAAAAGAAGAAATAGGAAATTAGGAAACGGAGGAGTTTCGAGGATGGACGAGGTCCGTGTCATTACCTTGTGTGTTACACGTGGAACGCGTGTCGAGTGCTAGCCGAAGGCAAACCGGTTGTACCTGGTAGGTTGGTCGCAAACGGAGGGTTGGTCGGAAGGTAAAGAGGGTGGTTTCGACGTTGAAGGATGGCGTGTCGCTGGGAGACACGTGCAGAATACCTCACAGCGCACGTACACGCATAAGTACACACGTAGAAACGGATGTGACTCTTGTCGGTGTAACGATCTGTAACATTACCCTCCCTCTCGCTCGCCCTCCCGTCTATTCTCGATTTCAGATCCTGTCTTTATCGAACGTCACGGCCGACTAAACAAGTGTTCAGCATGTGGCGCGGCACGGTTATGAATCGCGTCGGCCAATCACGATGCTTCCTCGCCGGGGAAAAATTGCAGGTGGTGGGGAGAGACGTCACGGAATGCCGCGAGACAAGTTTGCCGTGTAAACGAGGACGATTAAATTGTTACGGGGGTGGAAAAATGGGAATTGAAAGTGAATGGAGGATGAAGGTATTAAGGATGGAAGGCTGTGTAATTAATAATATGATAATATTTATCTGAGAACGAACATTTTTTTCCTTTTTGGATATTTTAATTTGATTAACTTTAATTTTGTAGAATTTAATTTAATTTACTTTTTCTCTCTCTCTCTCTCGATATTTCTCTAATATGATCCCACTTACAGTTGCTTTATTCGCTATGGATGGAGGAACGAAGTATAAGAAATAAAATTTATTTTTCCAATATGTACTTATTTTTATGTTTTTATAATAATAATATCTCCTCTGATAAAAACGAGGATATAGAAACTCAAGCTTGATCAATTTATACACGCGAATAAATATGAATATTTCTTTTACTTACCATTACTTACTTGCACACTTTTTATCCTATAATTATACAAAAAAAAAAAAAGAAAGAAAGAAAGAAGAGCAATAGAAAGCAAATTTTACAGGGGAAAAGATGAAAAATGAAACGCAGGAGGAGAAATAATAATGGGAGAGAACGTGGAAGGCAGCAATACGAAAGAAAGAAAACGAAGTGTGCATCGGTAATGAGTGGAGGAAGAGGTTGGTTTGCAGAAGCTATGAAACAGTTTATCAACGTTGGAATAGAAAACAGAAAACAGAAAGGTCGTGCGTTTTTTAAAAGAGATATGAGGTCGATATTCTTTGTGCTTTCAGAGTAACGAGCTTTCGTATGAAAATATTCTATGAAAATATTGCTTCCAATCGTGTGTACTCTTCCCTGATTAAATTTTTCAAAATAAATCGAAAACAACTTTCCTCGCCATATTTGCTCTCCCCTCCTCGCAACTTTAATGCGTTTTAATAAAAACACAGGGATAGGTAATGCTGACAGAAACTTTCAGCTTTGGAAAGTAGTTTTTCAACTATATATAACTTGCTTCGTGAAACTTATTATACTTGGGTTATACTAAGGTTAAAAGTAATAATTAACACGTTCTGCGTTGTTTAAAGATAAACAGAAAAACTTGTTAGGAAGAGAATGCATTTTTTGAATTTTTTGTAATTATTCACTCTTTAATTTCTATACTTAAATTCTTGTTATTGAACCGATACAACTAATTTTCTTCTGCTTTATATTTTCCTTTCTAGAATTTTTATATAACACTATTATTTTAATTATATAATTTTATTACTTAATTTATTACTGTATAACTTATTGTATAAGTTATAGCAAGATTCGAATTTCAGAATATCTTTTTAGTATTTTCTTAACGTTATTAGTTCAGCGTGTAATAAGATCGCAATATTTGCAGTTAAAATTGAAATTAAATAATATGAAATTCGAAAAGAATTAAGGAAACAATTACAAATTTTTATATTTGAAATAAATTCTTTTCTTGCATTAGTTGTTCTAGGTTCACAAATTTTTTAAAAATAAATGAATAATGCTACAAGCTTTGTATACAAGCTAGAATTGTTCACGATTAACAATAATTATTCCATCCATTATTCCAATAAAAGGCTTGCTTTTATTTCTGAACAAACGCCTTATTTTGTGAAAATATTGAAGGAAAAAATTGATAAAAACATTTTAAAATTGCAAATCTACCTAAAAAATTAAAAAAGAGTTACAACAAGTTTGCAAAAGAAACGAATAATAATTTCTCGAGTAATAATTATTCGCGTTAAGACTCTTAAAGAGTCTTAAGATCTTGGCCAAGAATTAAATTTGCTGTTAAGAACGTTTGAATGTTTCACGGGCGTAAATTCTATGTTTATACGAATTTAGCAGGATTTATCTTTGAAGACATTTTTCAAGTTGGCCACGGAACGAGGATAAGATGTTAATTGGTCTCGCTTAATTATCCTTCAATTACATTTGCCACTGCGCAACTTACTGTCTCGCCTCTCGTTCTTCCTTGCCTTGATTCTTTCCGGCAAAAAGCCGTGTAACGATGTGCAGTTACACGAGTACGTATTACTTGGCAAGCAATTTGCAGTTACCTCTACGAATGACTCGAAACAGCTAAACGTCTGTTATTTCCCACGTACGAATTATACCCATCCTTTTCGTTCGTTCGTTCCTTCTCTCTCGAATTTCTCTCAAATTCTTTGATCGACAGGCAGTTATTTGTTAAATTGTTAATAGATTTATTTTTCATATTAGTTTTATTTCCGTCATTGTAATAAATAAATGGAATAGAAAGAGATCTTTTTTCGTGTTTTGAAACACAAATTTAACAGATCGATTATCCTGTATGAGATAATTCAATTAAGATTTCTTTGCAAAAGAAAAAAAAAAAAGAAGAGAGAAAATGAAAGTTGTAAATAATATTGGATACTGATCAGAGTTTATAAAGTGAAGTTGTTTAAATAAATAATTTATAAATGAGAAAGATTAAAATAAATAATATTTTAAGAAATAATATTTTTTTCTATATTGTAAATTTTAAAGTAATTAAATGCATGAATGAATTAATGATAATTCAATCAAAAAAATTACCCGATTTTATCTAAAAAATTTTAACAAACATTCGAATTTTAATTTTTCTTTTCGATTTATTTTTTTATAAGGAATATTGCACTTTGGAATATTGTTTATCGTATTTATGAATAATCAGTCAACAAATTAAGTGCTATATTCCATTATATTCCAGTTTTAAAATATTAATTTATTTAAAAAAAGATGAAAAACTATTGTTGCATATATATAATATTTATAAATTTATATTTAATATATATGTATCGTATAGAAAATTAATAATTATATATTTCTTCTCATAAAATTGTGAAAATGAATCTTGAATACGTCATATTAATTAAATTTAAGTCACTTCGTTCTGAAAAATTTCAAATTTCATGGTTATAATAATTTGTTCCTCGTCAGATTAAGGTATTAATCTAATTTATTTACTTTATATAATAGATATTTCTTAACGAAGTAAATTAATATCGCTCACCTGTTCCACCCACAGATTCGTCGTCATGATTTGATTCTTCAAATTCTGTAACACGTAAAAAATAATTCATTATATTCATTATCTGAGCTTTTATCAATTACTAACTAAATAAGAATTAGATTTGCTCTTGTTATTTTATTTTGCTTATTAATTATTATTATATATTGATTCAAAATTTTTTCTTTAAAAGATAAATTAATTACATAAAAAAACATGTTCTTTAGCTAAGAAATTTTATTATATCCATTTCATTATTGCCTATATTTACTATTATCTTATAGAATTACAATCTATCTTAAATATTCTAAATATTCTAATAATTCAATTAGTAAAAATTGAAAAATAGTTGTAAACTATATGATTATGTCATCAATGCATATATTTAATGCAAATAAATCTCAACAATTTTGACAAATGTATCTTTATTTTCTTTTTAAAACTAATTCAATAGTACTAACTGTTTACTAAAATCGATTTATTCTAGAATGCATATTCTGTACAAGACTTAACTGTTACTACGGCTTATGGCATATGCGCATTAACATTATCATATACATACAGGATCAAGCTTAGTTTCCTACGAACAGCGCACAATTGGCTTTTCGAAAATGGATAATGGTGATTTGCTTAAAATTGTACTATATAACACAAAAAATATTTTTATCCTTGCTGTAAATTAGAATTCATAAAATCAATCTATCATCTATCTGATCAATTTTAATAAAAATATCTTTATTTTCTTTCCAAAACTAAATCACTTTAACTCTAACTAATTAGTTACTATTAAAATCAATTTAATTCATGACACGTGTTCTTCACATCAGTTAGATATATTACATATTATTGCACAAAATCAATCTTACTTTTCCGCCTTTTTCATAAATGACACGCCTGTGACTTATTATTACCATGTTAACCTTACATTAGAATGTATAACCATTTATTTATCATCTATAACACTTGGGCCATTAGGCCGCACTCGTTTGTTCAGTTATATCTTCTGTATGTAGATAATGTTAACGAGAATCGAGGTGGTGCTCGAGGCCACCTAGTGGCGATAATCGGTATTGTGATAATATCGGTATGCAAACTTACCACAACTTCAATGTGGCACGATACTTTGATCATGATCTTAGCTACCTAACGTAATAACGCATACCAATGACAAGTACCGATCAACTAGCGATGTCAGCAGTGCATGATGTCACATTAAAATAAACAAATTAAAAACAATTCTAATGGAAAGAAGTTTTATTTAACAATACATATATTACTGATGTATTGGCTATGTTTTATCAAAACTATACATTCTTTCAAAATAATCTTTAAACTTTACTTAGTCATTCGAATAATAAATAATAGTCAAATAATCTTGAATGATTTTCGTTTTTACACGAACTTATGTAATGATTGCAACAATTGCATTCGTATTACCGCATATACAATTCGGCCAATTGCGCTTGAAATTGATGGTATTGGAAATTGCGTATGAAGATGGTATTTTCGAATCCAATCAACACATGATCATCCCCTTTTTTTTTAGATCGTGTATCATCAATCAGCGACTCGTTAATTTGACGTACAACGTGCCAAGAACATTGTGTTGTGCAATCATTGCACAATTATATCGGTATCGAAACTGGAAACATCAATAGAATTAATAACTAGCATTGCAGAAAATAAATGTAATAATGTAATTTTTATTTAAGAAAAAAATTTTAATGTATTCATGTATATAAATTAATTAGATTAATCACTGTACGTTCCATTTAAATGATTCAGGTATTTCGAAAATTATTAATGACATTAAAATTTTTTTGGAAAATTAAATGAGTAACATCATTTTAGTAACAAAAAAGCATTTTGAACAATTATATATGTGTAATCGCCACTCGATTTTATTTTTCGATATATTAGCAATAATATGTTTAATACTACGTAGGTCGCAGGTAATTTTACAGTTTAAAGAACTCAACTTTCAACAATCTTGATCTCGTTACACGTAGAGCTTATCCTCCTAATTAATCTGTAGAAAGTTTTAATCGCTTTCATTGTTTTTATTAAAAGGTATTTAATAAAAAAATGTTTTGATATATTGTTGTTGCATTTTATATATTGTGCAAAAATATTAAGTTTGTGTTAATTAAATACATAGTTGGTATAGCATAGTATTATAATTTGATTTAAAAAAAAAAATAAATAAATTATTATCATGATATACGAAATAAAATACTCAGATTTATCTAGATAATTAATTTAAAAGATATCACACGTAATACTACTCACACGTAAAACATTATAAAATACGTACAGCAATAAATCGACAAAATCTCATTTATTATTCTGATTAAATATATAATCATATATACCATTTATTTGAAATTTAACTTTAATTATAGAATTGCTAGAATGAAACAATATCTGGAGGATTTTATTTGAAAGTTTAATTTGAGAAAATTAAAGATCAGATTAAACGAAAAAATTAATATAAGTAATTTTATAATTTGAATTAAAATGTGATATAATTTGTGTAAAATGAATTGTAACGTGTAAATTACTTTTAATTTATTATTAATAAATTATAATAATTATAAAATAATTATTAAATGCAATTAATACTGTGCACCTTTAAAAGGCAAAAGATAGGTTTTAATTATAAATTTACGATTAATCAAAAGTTTACTATAGATTTAACTTCGTTTGTAAATTATTCATTCTTTGAAACCATTTTTTGCGAAACATTTCAGATATTTTTTTGGTCTGTTAATTTAAATCCGTCCCTGTTCTAAGTTTTAACGAGTTGGGTATCTTCCTCAAGAAAGCTGAACGACAGCTGTGAAATGTAAATGCCGCAGAGGCACCAAGAATCGTGTAAAGACATTGGTTCAATGAACGAACTTTAAAAAAAATTCAAAAGACTTTCTTCTTTTTATTATTAATTTTTCACAATTTAAATATTCTTTATGCTAAATGAAACGTGTTCTTTAAATTTTATAGACAAATTGTGGTTATTGTGCAAGATTCTTTGCAAGATTAAATTCCCAAAATCATTTCATCTTCAATATTTTTTATTGCTGCGTCAGCTTGGAAAAAGAAGAAGAATATTCTTCTAGTCGACTAGTCACTTATTCAACCGAAACGTTGTAATATTTGTTTTACGATGAAACTTCTTCCACGATCGTCAACGCCAAGTCATCGTATCTTAGATCATGCTGTTTTTAGCTCACCTTCAACACACTAGCTCAAATCCTGCGGGACAACTCAACCCTTTTCTTTTTCATTTTCTCGCACAGGAGAAGAAAAATTTATTAGAAAAAAGAAAAGAGACAGTAATTCCTTCTCGTATTTGAGAAAAATACTTATAGCACAGGGTTATATATCTCTTTAAATATTTTAATTTTATCCTGAAAAATTTTTTACCAAGATTAATATTATATATATATATATATAATATTATAGAATAATATTTATATCGTTCAATTTAATGTTCTTTTTTTTTTTTTTTAGTAAATATTCTTCGCAAATAAAATGACAGGTAAAATGACAGGTAAAATGAGGTAAAAATAAAAAAGAAGTTAAGGTGATGCAAATTTTAAAAAGTTACTCTCTTATTGGATATTTTATCCTAGAAACTGTGCTTCTATATATTGTTTACTTACTGTGAAGTAAAGTTATGTTTTACTAAAACATTTTTCGCAAGAGATATTGTAACTTAAATATTTGCCGTGCGATACAATAATAGAAGCGAATCTAAAATTAATTCTAATAAATTGGATTGCTTTTGCTAAAAGCTAATTGATTTTGATTTTTAATTAATTGACAATAAAATGTCAATTATCCAAATATAAGACTATTCATAACTATAATTTATGTATTTAAATTAACTTGCAGAGATTATTTAAAAACAAACGCATAATCAATCTTTTGTAAGATGCACTTACCTTATTGAATTCTTTTATACAAGTAAATAAACTTTTATCGAAAATTATTATTGAATTTCTATCTATTTCATGTTTACAATTCGATTCTTCTTGCTCGATATGAATCCTGTCCTTCGATCAATTCAAACAAATCGATACTTTTCTAATCGCCAACACCTTACAAAACGTGTAAATAATAGTTTATTACGGAAACTATCGTTATTTATACTTGGCCACTCACTTAACCTGACAATCACACGAAATGTCAAATTTCTTAAAAAAAAGAAGAAACATATTAGAAGAATGAGGCAGAGAAGCACAAACGTGAGACCCGTCACCATATATTTCATCATCCCCGTTAAAATCGATCCTAAGAATCGTTCATCGTCCAATACTCTCCCGGTTGCATCGCAGATCGAATTACATTTCTATCGGCGGGTAACACGATTACGATGACTGCATGTCGCACGTTTCAGGCGATGGCGCTCGAAATAGTTTCCTAGCGAATTTTGATCGAGCTCGCGAATCTCATTGTCGCTGGTTGGTCACCGTTAACGACGTTCGATCGATCGATTTGAGCAGCAGTTACAGCTTATCGTTCACGGTCTAAGGCTTTTAAATCAACGTCCATCGCGTAGATAATAAGATCAACAAATCGTTACACAAACTGTAAGTAAAAAGTATTCGTTTCTTACAGTTTATAAATATTCTGTGTTATGTATTATATACTTCTACGAAGTTTCGTTCAAAATCAGAATTTTCAAGTTACCACTCTCTGTAAAATAGTTCGTGATATTCATGAGACATTGTACGTTAATAAGTCAAAGAGATCGAGAATCGAAGCAAGCACTATCACACCAATTTTCTAAGTTAATCGAATAAACTTGAATCGCAATTATGCAATTAGTGATGATACTTCGAATCATCATAAGCAATTATATACGCGTGATGAATATTTGCATATAGAATATCAACATTATTTATTTAATTTCAAATAATTTCAATATTTTATTTGGTGAACTTATATTAATATAAAACAGAATCACGGATTTATTTATATTTACACATTCATATAACCGAATTGATTTAAAACACTCGTATCGATTATAAATTTATTCCTGTAAG